ACTCTGCAAAATGGCTGGAATTCACAAAATGAGAACTACACCATACCATCCACGAGGTAATCCAGTCGAGCGCTTTAACAGAACACTACTGAATATGCTCGGAACACTCACCAATGAAGAGAAAACTCACTGGAAAGATTTTGTTAAGCCCTTGGTCCACGCATACAACTGCACCCGGAGTGATGTTACTGGCTACTCACCCTATGAGCTCATGTTTGGTCGACAACCTCGCCTCCCGATTGACCTGGTCTTTGGACTGCCTGTGGACGACAATCAACCCACTCATTCATAGTATGTCCAGAACCTAAAGTCAAATCTAGAAAAGAGCTACAATATTGCCATTGGAAATGCGGAGAAGCTCATGGGAAGAAACGAGCCGTTTCGACCAACATATCACCCCCTCTGAACTGGACGTTGGTGACAGGGTGCTGGTACGTAATGTGAAACTCCGAGGCAAACACAAAATCGCAGACAAATGGGAACCAGACATCTATGTGTTGGTAAAAAGAGCAAAAAATCTTCCAGTGTACACTCTCCGACCAGAGAACAAATCCAAACTGATTCGTACTCTACACAGAGATCTCCTCTTACCATGTGGATTCTTGCCGCATTCCACTAGAACCAACCGAACAACTGTAAAACCAACCAGGAAGCAGTCACTCAACCTTTCTGATGAGGACTGTGCACAACCTCAGTCAGAAGATGAGGATGACATGATACCACACCAATGGTATGATCCTGTCTCAGAAGCCTTTGCAATTTACCACTGTCCACAATCTGCCAGAACCTTCATCCACCGTTCCAGCCACTGAAACTTTACCATCTGATACGCCATTCTGTGAACCTGCTACGCTCCCTTTGCCTCCTCTTGAGCCAGCAGAGAGCGAAACCCCTGACTCAGAAACCCCTGTCAAGGAGGAAGCTCCTGATACTGTGGAATCAGAGGACAGTCTGTCCTCTGCTGAACCTACCAATGTTGAATTGCTGACTGAGTCCAGTATGTCCTCTGAGATTGAGGGGGGGAACCTGTAACCCATATCAACTACTCCCTGTCACATGACCCACGTCAGCTGATTTGAGGTCTGTCTCCTGATTGGCTCCTTCCACGTCGCGGCAACTCTGAAAACCGGCTGTGGAGGGATACTTCCGGGTTCGACTCTTGCTGTGGCTGTAAGCTTATGGCGTTTAGAACGGCGTTGGAAAACAAAGCGTTTTCTCCCCTCAATTCATCTATAAACTCATTTCACCTCAGTGGAAAGTGTCCTTAATATCTACCAAAAACAACCTTTTGGTTGTCAGTAAGCAGTCGATCGTTTTCGCGATTAAAAAATGACTTTGTTCGGCGGCGTTCCCACCGCGAGCAGAACTCCGGTTCAAAAACCGCTGTTTTTGAACACTTTTATTTACTTAAGCACTTTAATGGGCTTACTTTGAAACAACGTGCGATTGAATGATTATTGGTATGTGTTGCCTTGAATTCGGCTATGCTGTCTGTTAGACAGTTGTTTTTCTTTATTGTTTTGTATTTGTTTGTAGCGAACGCTACTGGAAT